TTTTTTCTTATTGTTGGCCTTCCACAAAAAATAAAAGTGGCGAAAAACAGGATTTTATTTTGAGTGTTTTTTTTTTTTTTTTTTTTTTTTTTTTTTTTTCTTCTGAGTTGTACTTTGCTGCTTACTTTGGTATTTTTTAATTAAAAGTGAAAGACAATAACAAACTGAGGCTGATCCATACCTGGAGGCCTGCACCAAGCAGAACAGTCAGCTGGCTTTTAACAGGGCCACCACTGTTACTTGGCCTGCTGTGCCCTTCATCGGTTCCACCTCCCCGATCATCCAGGTTGATGGGGGCTGACAGCGAGGCCCGCCGCCCTCACTCTCTGCACCGCCCCCATGGAGCAGGCAGAGAGTGAGGAGCAGGCTAAGGCGCACCCACATCCCTGTGGCGCCTCCTCCCTGCCCCAATCTGGAAGTACAGCGGGTAGGAGGGGTGAAATTAAGGAAGAAGTAAAAAGCAAAACGGGAAGAAACAATTTTGTCAAACTCAGCAGAAAAAAAGCTAGATGAATGCATATGAAGTCAAAAAAATAATGTGGATAACAATATTTCCCCCTTGAGTTGATCCCACTTCAACTGCATTAAAACGTTTAAAAGCACTGAAAGATTTTCTCAAAGTTTCACTTTATCTGTCGGTTTATCTATATGTTTATAGATGATGTTTGTACTGAAGCAAAGAGAAAAAAATGTATCTCTAATGTCAAGTTTTCACTTCTTTTCTACGTACACGATTGTCTGAAAGTTATATCAGAGCAAAATTACAAGAGCTAAAAAACTAAATTATGTGCACTTAGCAAAACGTTAACAATGTCTAATACATTCCTTATGTTAAGATTGCTCTATTCATGCAAGATAAATATCAACGTTAACGCAAGCCAGAAGGTTTTTTTGGGTGGGGGGAATCGGCCACTTACCCCTTGTTTAAAATAGTGCTTTGCCTCTGCTGTGCTCTGCTTCCTTTGCAAGCCTTCGAACAAAAACATGCCTCCTCCTCCTTTGCTCCCCCTTTTTATACTCAGGCTGTTGTTTTTCCTCTGTAGAAGGAGGACAAAGTTCAGTTCCCTCTGTCTGCTGATGCCAACACTTTTCTCTGGTTAAAAAATCACAGTGCATGAAATCCTCTAGTTAAGAGGAAACAGAGCATGAAAAATGTTTTGCAGCAACTGAAAATTTTGAGGAAACAAATGTGTGTGCAGGAAAAAAAGGTTTTTGCTTGACTTGTTGATGTACTCTATATCAGCTGTAAAGAAAAGAAAAGGGATCAAATTGGATTTTTATTTATTGTTGTTATGAATGTAAAATAAAACTTTGATTAAGACCTGAGGAATCATATATTAATGTCTTGCAGAAGTGGAAGACGTGAAAAGAACCAGGGCAGGACTCTGGAGGCTGGCCAGAATGTTTCTAGATAAACACCGGTGGAAGGGGGTTTCGCAATATGCACAAGTTGCTTTGCTTCAGCTATCACTGGAACAAATGTTTCACTTTAATGCACAAATGTAGCTTGTAAACAAAGTATATATGTATAGAATTGCACAGACTTCTAGATGACTATGAAGAACTCTACTGTACATTGTACTTATTGGAAAGATTTGTTACCTGGAGGCTAATAAGAGAATACCAAGGCAATAAACTGACGCAAAGCAGTAATCTCATTGACCCTGAAAGATAATATTATATAAAGTAGCTGTAAAGACTATCAGTATGCAGTCAGGCAATTTCATCCCCCCCACCAATGAAGGATGGCCAATTGTGAGAACACTGCTTGGAGATAAATGAAGACAAGAACGATTTAACAGAGTAATCTTAACTGACAGCTTAATATAGTTTAGATTTAACTTTTTGCTGGAAACTTAAATGACAGAGTGGTCTGAAACATTAACCAATCCAAAGACACTGCAACAGGCTTAAAATCCAGTAATCATGACTCGGATGACTGAGGATTATACACAGGAACTTCCCAAAGCCAGTATTTACATTACATGCGTTTATATGTTTTGAGGATCACTAAACTGGTCTAACACCAAACTGTGCCAAGGTTTCACTTAGCACAGTTTGTGAAACCTTAGCTCCAAATGGATCCCCTCGCGTATAATTTTTAATCAAGATAATTGGAGGGTCTGACATTAATTGATCACAATCCATTTTATGTCGACAAGAAAACCAACATTTTCAATTCAAAAACCGTCATTTAGGTTATTCAATCGTCAGATTCATGTAAAACACTATTATAAATGTTCAGCATTCAAGCATTTCAAGATCATTCATATAACTTCTTTGAAGAACACTTCTTTAGAAATTTGAACTTTAGACTCACATTAGTGTTAAGGATGTCCGTGCTTGCTGAAACATGTTATGCATTGAGAAGCCATTGAAGACTTCAACAGCTTTGATGACTGCCCAACTCCATTTGCACAAAACAGCAGTCTTTTCTGTTGCTTGTGTATGTTAGTTGTGTGTCAGATTCCCATGTATATGTATATGGCTGCACACTGTGTCTTTTAAATAAATTCACTGTAATTTAATGATTAAGGAATGGAATAATTATAACATTTGCTGAGTTGTTTCTTTATGAAACATAAAGAAACATGTAATGTTTAACATATAATGTTAAACATTAGTGTAAGTAATGTTTTTATAGACCCAGTGGCGCTTGCTAAGAATTGCATAAGATGCAAAGTAAACAGTGCTGTTTGAAAACAGAACTATGTCTGCTGCTAAAGTGTGGTTTATATTTATAGTGATTTTATATTAAAACTAAATGACTACAACATCCACCCACAATGCAAAGCCAGATTGGGGTTACACAGTGCAATTTGTAGGATTGCGTAATGCTGTGGTGGTACTGTACAGAGTAGGTGAGAACTTGTTTTGCAAATGTGGTGCTGTTGTGACTAGTATCTATGAATGCAACTTGATCAGCTTAGAGACATGTGGCAACTTGATCTGAGCTTCAAAGTATCATGCCATGTCGGAATTAGTTCTAATGAGTTACATATTTACAGAGCATATGCCCAGTGCCTTTTTATCCAGAACAAGGTGACCTGGAAAACAATATGTAAAATAAATAGTAAAGACATCAAATTTTTTCTAAGATTGAATATTT